ACCCAAGGCAATATTTCAATGTGAACAGTTTTAGGATGTTGTGCATTGATATATCTTAAATAAATAAATAATAATAATAAATAAATAAATAAACTATAGTCGTATATAATTTTTTTAAAATGTAATTTTAAGCGCGTGTCGCACAGCACAAGACTTTCATGGGTTAATACAAGTTACAAATTATAAAATTGGCTGAGATTTTGATAGTTTTTTGTATACATTTTTGTTGTACATAGTAAATAGTTAAATAGGTATGAGAGACTTTAATCAGGAATCATTTTTTGTTATGGGAGATAATCATTTCTATTGTGCCATATCTGTTTCAAATCTTAGCAATTTATACATTTTCATAACCGGTGCGCAAAGAGTACTGGGGATATGTAATATAAATTCTAGATCAGCCAAGACTATATACATAGCTATGCATATCTGCCCGTTTATGGTATCTCTATGCAAACTACCCAGTGGACCAAAGAGCGATAGTAAAACGGAACTATCATAAAATGTCCGGAAACGGACTTATAAATGATAAAAATCCGGGAGCGATGAGTGAAGACTCGCTAAATGCTCGCAGACGGACCTGGAACAGATCCTTAACCGGACAAAAACCGTTAATATTAAAAACATTAATATAATTGGAGAAAATGCAGCAGACTTTAGTTTTCCACATTTCATTTCCATGTAATGATTTTTCTAATTTTTCAAATGTTTTAATTGAGAATTTCGAATTAACCAATTTAAATGTGCGCCTAGGAAGTGGATGTCCGAAAATAATATTTGCAAGAGACCAGCTAATGATTTGCTTTAGCTTTCGTCCACGTGGGGTTATTAAATAGAATGTGGCTCCAGGAAGCTATGTGCGCTACGGTTTAAAAGACGCGCCAACTGATTTTCTTGGTAGTTTTTTGTATGAATCTGCAGACGTTAGCCTAAATACTAATGTGGATGGACTTCCATTGTATAAAAGTTCACTTAAACAAGCCTGGCCCATTTAGAGACTATAGTCTCTCTCACAATTTGCGCACACACCCACACACACACATATGTACATACAGTGGAACATTTATTTCAGTGGAAGGCGCAACACCTGGTGCTCTTGCCAAAGCCAGGAAAGCCGCCGGACGATCCCTCCTCGATTCGACCGATTTGCTTAATCGACTCGCTGGGGAAGACTCTTGAGCAGATAATCCGCAGAAGACTGGACAACGCCGTCGAGGATGCTGGGGGACTATCACCAAACCAATACGGCTTCAGGAGAGGGCAGTCAACGGTGGACGCCATAGGCAGGGTAGTTGACATAGCCTCCAAGGCAGTGGAGGGAACTCGATGGAAGGGCGGTAAGAAGGAATACTGCCTGATTGTCACCCTAGACATCAGGAACGCCTTCAATTCGGTAAAGTGGGAGTGCATCTGTGACTCACTGAACCAGCGCGGTGTACCCCAATACCTACAGGCAATCGTTCGGGGCTACTTCGAGGGGAGACTGCTGGAGTATAATAAGGCGGCCGGCGCGCCGTCTCACGGCATAACGGCAGGCGTTCCCCAAGGATCAGTGATGGGTCCCCTCTTATGGAACATTGCCTACGATGGAGTCATGAGATTAGCACTCCCAGGCGGATGTCAACTAACCTGCTACGCAGATGATGTCGCCCTGACGGTGGTAGCCAAGCACCTGGACGTCGTCGAAGCAAATTCCGACACCGCAATCCAGCTGATTGCAGACTGGCTCCGTTCCGCGGGACTAGAGCTAGCCGCTCATACAACTGAGGCAGTATTGGTGAGCACCCGTTCTACTGTAGAGACCGCTCATATCAGGGTTGGCGACCAGAGATTATCGTCGAAACGAGCCATTCGGTATCTGGGCGTGACGATCGACACCAGGCTCAGTTTCCGAGAACACCTAAGCTACGTCCAGGAGAAAGCGGCAAAGACGAGTCGGGCGCTGTTCCGACTACTGCTGAGCACCCGTGGCCCGAAGCAGGAGAGGAGGATTCTGTTGACCAGCGTAGTCCGCTCAGCCATGACCTACGCAGCAGACATATGGGCGGATGGCATTAAAGTTGTCAGTTATGCTAGGGGCATAAAAGCCACTCATCGCCTCTGCGCGCTCCGAATCTGCTGCGGCTTTCGGACTTTATCCGACGACGCTGCCCTAGTCCTGGCGGGTGTCCTCCGTATCGACCTTCTTGAGGTGCTTGAGGAGAGGGCTGTGGACGAAGCCATCCGGGCCGGCGCGGCAAGGAGAGACGCGCGCAAGCAGGCCCGTGAAGAAAGCCTCAGAGCATGACAAAGCCGCTGGGACGGCTCTGGTAACGGACGGTGGACACACCGCCTAATTCCGGATGTCCGATATTGGATCGGCAGGCGACACAGTTTGGTCAATTTCTATTCCACACAGCTTCTGAGCGGACACGGCTGTTTCAGCCATTACCTTTGGAGGTTCGGCCACGAGGACTCGCCGAACTGCTCGTGGTGTGGCGACGCCACTGAAGACAATGTGGGCGCTTCGCACTTATCAGGGAGGAGCTGTGGCGAGCCGCCGGCGGGCAGCTCACGCCGAACAACTTGATCGAGGCGATTGTGGAAGACCCCCCGGTATGGTCGGCCTGGAGAAACTTTGCAGCCGACGCCATGAAGGAACTGCGTAGGTGATAGCGCCGAAGGAACGAAAGTGGCTAGGAGGAACTAAAGTGGCTGCGAAGCATTGCTTTATCCCGTCCCGCAGAGACCCGGAACTTCCTGCCGTTCTCTCCAACTCAACACAGCTCCCTGTCTAGCTATAGTTAAGTCATAGGCTTATAACATTTAATAAAATTAGGAGTTAATACAGAATAAAAAAAAAACATATGTACATACTGATTCATTCTCTCATGAATAAGACATTCGTGGATAATGGGACCCCTATATCATATATATAGATATAGCATTTCATCACAGTCAAAACTTAAAATCAGGAATCATAGGTATAGCTGGCGTATTAACGGCATAGCTGTACGTATGTACAAATGCAGATTGATTTTCTTCTGAGATTCTTTTGTGACCATTGGAGGATTTCTGAAATGGATTTTTGTACAACTCCACAGACCAACAACTAGAACGATGCAATTACTGCACCATCAAGAGGCCCGTGTGACACCAGAGAAGGCTGTTACGCGCGTATCCCAGGCAAACCCAGGAAAAAAAGACTTGCTAAGCAGGCATTCAAAATATAAATTCAAATAAGAAAGATATGCCAATATTAGTGATTTAAGAAGAGGAGGGGAATTAGTTGTAGATATTATACGGTAGAGGGAATCATAATCCGAGTATAAGACCCTAAACGGTTCATGCAATGTACCATTACATCCAAACACTTAATTTAAACAACAATATTACTCAAAAAACTTCCGACAACCAATAAATATCTGAAATTATTGTGCTTTAACCAGCATGAACCTAATAATCTAGCCTTAAAACAAATGTACATAAAATACATATGTGTGTAAACATACTTAAATAACTCTACAGACGGCAGCTCCTGGCAGCTAACACTATTAAGATCTCGTCTTAGACTTAGCTTTATATGAAATTCCTGACATCAAACAAATAATAAGTAAACGACATATGTTTTAAACGAATTCAAGTGGGATTCCTATCAGACATTACACATGAAAATGGTATCAAAAGGGTTACAAGTTTCTACGATATAACATTTCTGTAGTTTATTTAAGAAATTAGAAATTAGGGGAAAAAAGGAAGAAAACAGCACGAATATCTCAGGTTAAATTGCGAAGCCTAGCAGCCAATTGTGTTGGCATTGATGAACTGGACAAACATCTGGGGCACCTGAGCCAACGGAGTGGCTGCCGTCTGGGAGGCCCGGCACCTGCTCGTAATGAACTTCTGCCGCAGGCGGTTCAGCTGAATGGCGTTCATCGTGGTGGTCACCTTGACGGGGCTGGTGCTGCCCTCGATGCGCAGCTGGCCAAAGGCCTTGATCTTAATGGCGCCCAGGATCTCCTTGATGATTGTCTGCATGATGTTGTCCAGTTCAAAGAGGTAGTTTGTGGCGCAGAGAGGCGGCTGAATGGCGGAGAGAATGACTGTGATTAGACTTGCATGGGTTTGTGGATTATTAACAAGGGGTGACCTACGTTTTGGGTGCTCTGGTTGGGCGGCAGAGGCTGCGTCTCGTACAGGGCCCTGTAGATGCCCTCCACGTCGAGCCTGTCTTCGGGTAGGGCCACTGTGAGCGGACAGTCCCAGCGGCTATTGCTGTGGGGCTCTTCGTAGCGCATGCATAGTGCATCGAAGATCTCGCGGGTGTATGGCACATTCGAGTTGTTAAGCAGCTGCGTCGTCTGCCCGTCGCCTGGAAGCTCGTCCGGCTCCTGGCGTTGTTCGTTAAATGACCATGCCTGCTCCTGGGATATGCAGCAGAAAAGTGTGCACTGCGTGGTCCGCGCCGACTTTGTTATACAGTACAACTCATAGCGATAGCCTGCGGGGGATCGAATCGATCAGGTTAAGGAAAATGAAGCATATGCCTTTTGCGCTCTCACCCTTTATGTAGTTTCCAGCGTCCAGAATGACAACATCCTCCTTGTTGAGGTGCCGCAACGCTTCCGACTTGAGGTCGCTGCGCACCACCTTCTCCTTTTGCGAGTCTCCAAAAAAGGAGTTCTTCTCGAACAAAGCTTTGGGTACCGCCTCGTTCTCGCTGATTAGATATACCTTCTTCCCCAGGCCGGCGAGGTGCTCCTGAAGCTGGCGGGCTCTCGTGGATTTGCCGCTGGCCGGCAAGCCCGTAATCACAACAATTGGCATGCTAAGAGGCGGCTTAATAAATATTTATATTCCTGTGCACGCCTGCTCTGCAGTGCTGGTGAATGCCACATGACAAAGGTCCACTTTACAGCACTGCTCGAGCTCTCCAGCTGACCCGAACGCCTATCGATATTGTCCCATTGTCAGACCAGCTGTTTGAAAACTGCCAACTGGGGCTGAACGTGCACAGTTTGAAAGAAACTTCCTTTTTAACATATAATTTGTAATGTCTGACGCCCGCCGGCGTTACCGGAATAAGAAGCGGGATGATCATCGTCCGATGCAGGGTGCAGGACAGACAGCACCGGTCACCATTGCTCGACGGGAGGATCCACGCTGCGTCCAGCCGAAAATACTACTCAAGAAGGACATCGTGTCGGATCCTTGCAGCGGTAGCAGCAACCAAGATCTGTCCTGCTTCCCCAAGACGCTCATCGTTAATCGCTGCAGCGATGGGCGCTCCGAAAAATGCAAACCCTCGGGCGGTAGTGCTGCTGCATCTGGGTACCATCCAGCCGGATGCATGCCGCCGTCAGTAGCCTCAGTACACTCCACATCAGTTTGCGCAGCCCTTGCCAGTGGCCCGTCCAATGACCGGGACAAGACCAGCTCGGGCTCCGGATCGGGAGCAGCCCTCCTGCCAGCTCAAGATCTTCAGCCGCCACGAATGACGCGCACCACCCCTCTAATAGTGTCAAACGGGGTGTTCAACGCCAATGCCCGCAAGCTCTTCCACAAGACAAACACGGACTTCACTGTGATAGGTGTCCTAGGTGGCCAGGGTGTGGGCAAGTCCACACTGCTCAATCTGCTGGCTGCCGAGCGGCCCCTGGACTACGACTACTACCAGCACCTGTTCGGCCCAGAGGCAGACGAGTGCACATTCCACACAAGGCTCAAGCACAAGCCCTCCTCCGGGCAGAACCAGAAGAGCATCCTGCGCCCGCGCACTGAGGCGCTGCAGTTCTTCATCACCAGGGAACGTTTCATTCTGCTGGACACGCCGCCGCTGCTGGCTGCCAACGGGAAGGAGGCGGACTACCTGGAGCTGCACTCTCTGGCCCCCATGTCGCAAATGCTCACCATCTGCCACATCCTGCTGCTGGCCATCGACGAAGTGAGTCTCGAGCAGCTGCATTTGCTGCATACCGCCCTGCGCCTGCGCCCGCGCACACCCTGCAAGGGCTACGTCCGCGACTACCTGCCCCATGTGATGTTCGTGCGCACACGCGCACATCGCCAGCACTTTGAGCCCCGCCAGCGGGAGCGACTCGATAAGCAGTTGGTCCATCTGTTTGGCAGCACCGGATTGCACATCTATCGGGGCCGCGGCGAGGCCCGATGCCTGAACAGCTTCTTGCTGCCCGAGGTATACGGCAACGGGGCAACGGCCCACCATGCCTGCCTGGGCGAGCTGGTACGCCAGTTCCGCGAGCGGGTATTCAGCACGACGCGCGTCTCCATGTGCCAGAGCAACGACCTCAGCGAGGCCATTTGGTTCGAGCTGCTGGCGGAAAGTGTGCGCCGGGCAACGCCGCACTTTGAGAAGATCTATGCGGAGATCAAGCATCGCCATCTGGACCCACGCTGCCAGCGGCGTGCCGAGAACTGGCGCAACTTTGGCAATGACGCCAATTAGACAGAGATATCACCATGTGAACAAAAGATATATAGAAATACATTAAACCTTTATTGGAACCTCCTTTGTCTGTCGTTTCGATTGACGACGGAAAGAGTGTCTGTCTATCGTCTGTGACGTTTTGGCTATGGCATCTGTAGGTGGGTTTCGAACTAGGTTTCGGTTTTGGTTTTGGGGATTTAGCCTGATTCTTCTCGATCGCCAATTGACAATTGGCCGTATCACGTTTGTGGTGTTGTGGCAACAGTGTCGTCGTCCGTCTCAGTCTCATTTTGCGCGTCAATTGCGTCCTCGTCTCCGTCTGCGTTTCCATCATCGTAATGATTAGCAATGATTGCGTCGTCCATGTCGTTGTCCTCGCGCATAATGAGATCATGGGGCTCTTTGGATCCTTTCGACTTGGAGTTCATCTTGCCGCAATGCTCCTCGTAGGGGCCCGGCTTGCGACAGACCCAGAACAGGCTCTGATACTCGCTCTGCTTCATCGATGACGGATTCTGGGCGTATTTAGTGCGAATTCCCGACCGCGAGCACTCAATCACAAAGCCCACACTCTCAATTATGATGCACAGATCCTCGTACGTTGGCTCGATGCTATTCTGACCATTAACATCGCTGTAGTGGTATAGCAAAGGGCCGAGATTCACCCAGATGCCGCCGGGAACGAGGATTCTGCAAAAACGAAAGTGAGAGACAGAGAGAGGAGGAGGAGAATTTCATCAGAATGTGAAATGAGGCTAGCAGAAGGCGTATTTACTTGTAGATGGTTCGTATAAAGTCGATGACATTGTTTGCACAATCAATGAAGAAGCACGTGGCCACACAGTTGTAGCTGTGCGGTGTCTTATAGACCTCGAGAAAGTCTCCAGCCGCCATCTCTATATTGCCCTTGGGTGGATTCTTCAGGGGGCAAACGTCGGGAAATCGCACAGCCGCCACCTGATCCTCGCGTCTGAGGTTGTTCACATACTGATGCACCCACGGGTACAGCACATACTTGTTCTCATAGTCGCATCTATGGAGAGATCCAATGGAGATGGAGATCCAGTTAAATACTATATATGTGTGGGTAGTGACTGTGAAAATGGTACTCACAAATTCAGGACAAAGTTAGAGGCAATCAACATGAAGTAGGAGAACTCATTGCCCTCGCATGAGTAGCCCAGGCAGGCCAGCTCGTAGGTAAGCCGTCCCAGGCCAGCTCCTGGCACCAGAATCTTAATCTCGTTCAGCTCGCTGTGCATACAAATAGCAGAGAGATGAATAATGGGTTGGGAGTATGATGGCGGATGGATTACTCACTAGTCGCTCGGCTTATAGTACTCCATGATGCTGTCAATGATCGGCTTGTAGGATTGCTCGCGCTCCAGTGCCCCGTCCGTGCTCCAGTCACGCGCAATCAACTTCAATGTCGACTGGGCCTTTAAAATTTTCAGAGGTTCAACATCAGCATCGTCAAGAACAAAATCATACTGCGTTTCAGATTCGGGATCAGGAGGGACCATATCATTCGGGGATAGATTTAGGAGAGATGCAAATATGCACATGTAAAGATTTTGTTTCGTATTGAGTTATAGATTAGCAGTAGTTTCAGAGGATCGGAGGGTCAGAGGAAGAGAGCAGAGGACAGTAGCAGAGTAAAGGAGTAAAAGGCAGAGAGAATGGAAATGAAAGCGTCTTCGAGCTTAAGCCCAAATCCTGCTCGCTGGGTGGCTACCTGGTCCATGTCGCCATGTCGAACGTGGGCTGGCGGCTCATCAAACTCGCTGTCCCCCTCTGATGTGGGGCTGCTTGAGCCATCCGCCGGATAGAGGAGCCGTTCGCGCAGAATCTGTCGGATGACGGCCTGGTTGCGATCAATGCACGTGCGCACACAGTCCAGATGGGCCCGGTATTTGGAGAGCAGACGCTGATCATCGGCTGGCAGGCTGTTGAGGTAATCCAGAGTTCTTCTCAGCCGCTGGCATGCATATGGTCTGTGGATACGGGGTGCGGATGAGTGGCAGATAAATTAATTGATTTTCATTATCAGTCATTGACGCCGTGTGTTTGGTGGTACGAATCATGTTGCGACAACTGCATGTCCCGTACAAGAACAGACATGCAGGCTGCTTATCATGTACACACACACACGCACGCACGAACGCTCAAAAATTCACCCACACACAGCGCAAAACTACGGTAATTTGTTGATGTGCCGGCGGACTTGTCTGCACATGTCACAGCGCTTCTTCACCCCGACCCAACTTCTCTCGATCAGCATTCAATTACAGTTGGCCGGAGACCATTTCACTGACAGCCATAAAGGCAAAAACTCACCCATAGTACAGAAAGGCATTCTGGACCTTCTGAATGTGCTGCTCTTCCTCATCTTCGTTGGCGGAAAAAGCCAAAGCCAATTGCTCATCGATTTTGGGATGCAGGGGAAACATTGATGGCATCGCGTGGCTCATTTTCGCGAGTCACTTCCGAATCTACAATATTTCTATGCTTCAAATTTTGCCGAAAAATTTTTTTACACCATTTCTCTTAGTGTTGGATTTGTCGTTCACAAATAGAGGTGGTGAAACATCGATGCCACTATCGATGCATCGATTTCTTTATAGTTTTAGTAAACATCGATTGCTTGGGACGAATATCGATGTTTAGCTAGAGACTTTGACTTTGCTAGCTGACTAACTGGATGTACAAAGTAAGCCTTATGGGAGAAGAATGCAGTGATAGCGCGAGATATATTTGGCTTGCCCGTTGATCTGTAGCAGCGCCTACGCAGAAATGATCGATTTTCAAATGAAATTTTACTGGTCGTCTGTGTGTGCTGGAAAACATGACTAATTTTTTAGTTTTCTCCCCTCATGCTATCTATCTGTTTCTCTCTTTGCAGAAAAGAATAAATAGTCTAACCTAAATCTCTGACGCTTCATAAGACTGAGTTTTGTAACAAAATGACGAAGATCAATTCAAAAATCATACTGCAGAGCTTGGGTAAGCCAATTTTATATTTGTTTTCGCTATATAAAATTAAACACACTCCGAAGCTTGTATGCTTATATTAAATAATTCTTTTCGCAGATTAATACATCGACATTAAGGTACGCAAAAACGAAATGACCATTCACAAAAAACAACGCACTCGTCGGATCGGAAAATCGCGGCTTGGCCAAATAATCATGTTCATATTGAAAACTTTGGTCGAAATGGACCCAGCTTTAATGACAGTTTCAATACTGATAATTTTAATTTGCGCTCCAATCAGATGAATACCTCCGATTCGAACGGCTACGGCTACGGCGGGTTGATCTCGAATAATCCAGGACCCGTGAATTCGAACGGCCACGGCGAAAGAAAACCAAAGAGGGGTATGTTTGCAGGTGAAGCGCTTGGTAATCGCTCTAAGCGATTGCAAAACGGCCAATCCGAAAGAGGTTGCCAAAAAAGTGTTGGTATTGCTGAATACTGCCGAAAATGATTCCAAAACCAAGTTAATGTCTGATACATGGTCACAGCGGATTGCTTTCGAAAAATAATGTCGAAAATGATTCCAAAAGCAAGGTAATGTCTAATACAAGGACTCTTAGTAAAATAAACACTTCTATATGCATGTTTATTTTTTATTTCAGTCAAACTAAAAGTTTAGTTGTGGTTGCATTTGTTCGAATTTCCGAATATTCTATCCCTGATCTGCCTAACGTGTCAACTTTCACCGCTTATTGAGGGTAATGTAATAATTATGGCTGAGGGAAAGGGAGCAAAAATATTAAATCAAACATATTAATAATAGTGTGTAAAGACTACAAGATGCTTCTAGTGTAAATCTAATAGAGTTCTGTCTATCCTGCAGCTGCGTCCCCTTAGCGGATTTCCGGAAGCTGACGGGTCTCCTATACCACCACACACAGATGCCCTTTAAAGAGCAGATGAACCGATGCCCTACAAATTCTTCATGGGAAAGAAAGTGTGAACTTAGTGCCTAGTGCTCGTAACTGGATGAGCGAACAAGAAACCACACCGCGGGAAGATCAAGTTCTATTTCGGACACACAAATGCATACACATATTAATTTTTAACTAGAACGAGATTAGAACTAGTATATCTTCCTATCTTTTCCGAATAATTAAAAAAACATTTTTTATTCATTTCTAATAAACAAAAATCCAAATAATCCTGTATATACGAGGCGTAGTCAACATCACGCCAACCCAACGACTTTACAGTGTCATGTCTTCGAGTGCTGGTGAGCGCCAATGATGCATTTATATTTTATATTATTATGATAGGGGGCGTCGAAGCTTAGCGACTCGCACCAAAAAGCAGTCACGTCCAACTGGAATTATTCTCCGTCAAACCGTATCCCAATCATACGCGTTCGCTAGCACAGAAGACGTGAGCCGAAGACTTCTGGGGGAGATGTTGCAGCAAATTCTGTTGGGTTCTGGTGTTGGTGTTGCAAGCGAAGGGAATTAGTCTAAATTAAAAATAATATTTTATTAACATATGAGGCTTATTCTGTTTAAAATAATTACAATCATACTTTATACATTATTGGTACATTAACCAGCCAATTTTTGTTGTACAAAATGGCATTAAGTCCCACCAGGACTACCAGATGGTGCTGCAAAGCTATATGGTAGGGGTAGTGTAGCACCCAAGAATATATGTACAATACCAAGATGTTGCATTAGGTTTTCCATAACGCACGCCCTCTGAGCGGGGTATCTCTTTTCTCTTTTCACCTACATATGCTTCGTCTCTGACCGTTCAGCTCGTCTGGCAGCTGAGTCGGTCCCAGAATTCTACAACAAACAAACAAATAAGTCGGACTCCTCGCATGAACGAATAATTCAAACCGGAATGACGAGTAATACAATTGCAAATTTTGTGTCTTGGACATGAAGAGTATAACATATTTGAAGTATATTTTCTGGGATCGGAGACTGCGATCGGCTGCACATTACCAAAGACTGTGTACTTGTTGTAGGAGCTGGCCATATAATGTCTTTGCATTCTCGGGCTCTCGTGCAATACCTTTTGAACTGTGCGCATCTAGGACTTGCTGGCTTCGAATAATTATAGATCTGGAAGCATTTATAATAATAACCAACCGCATATAAAATAAAATTGAATAAATCTGTGGTTTTAAAAGTGATATTTTTTTGTTTGTTTTTTTGTTTATTACAAAGAAGATATCCATTTTGCTTGCTGTAAACATGATCGTTACATATTCATATTGATGCATTTTATACGTTTTTGTGTTCAACATTAGTCGACTGGTGGGGATGGGGGAGGCTAGGGGAAAGGCGCTTGGTTGTTGGCTGGGGACTGGGGACTTGGGACATGGGACTTGGGCAGGGTACGTGGCTGGGTGTACGTGTTCGTGTTGCCTAATAACTAGTACATAAGATAAATTGATTACAATTTAGGCTTCTTCAGTAGTTTCTCCTTGTCTCCGCTTCCGGTATGCTGCTCGCAAAATTCCAAATCGAATTCGAGGCGAGGCGAGGCGAGGCGGGCGAATCAACTGTTTGCGAATATGCATTGAATTGCATAAAATACATACATACTCGTACATATATATGCATACATATATGTTTTCTTGTTATAATTATTATAATAATGTGTTTAAATATAAGTAGGTATAGGTGTGTGTGTCTGAGTGTGTGTGTGTGTTTGTGTTCTGTGGATTCTTAACTCTAAGCTGTTAACATTTACATACTTCAAACATGTTTGCTCAGCTCTTCATAGTATAGTTTGCATCGATTGCAAATAGAATCGAGTACTTGTCCACCGATCCACCAGTTGCATGTTGCATCTACTTATGTGGTGGTAATCTTAAGCTAACGATTTCGAAATTACTCGTACTCCGTGTTTCGTTTGGTTTGTGTATAATATGGTTGCTATCTTCTAAATGCACGCTACCTCAAAATGGCTAAGAGTTTGCATTTTCCTCAACTTGATGCTAAAATTTGCAATGCTCAACACAACAAATGAAAATCTAGAAAAATTCGCGCATGCGCTCTCCATTGCATTGCATTCCATACCATTATTTTCATTGTTCGAAATTCGAAATCAACAGAGTATCTGTGTGTGCTTTCTTCTGTTTTTGTTTTCGTTTTTGTTTATGTTTGTTAGGTTTTTAACAAGTTTGGATAAATTGTTGGCTTTCTTGTTCTTTTTGTTGTTGTTTTTTGATTGAATTCATAATAGATTCGACTTAGTAGGTTGCTTCCTTTTTCGAATCGCTATCGAAAGACAAGTATGTAAATGACAATAAAACCATCTTGTTATCGTCGTTAGGTTCTAACGTGTTTTGTTTTCTTAATATTTTGCAGCTGTATCACAATGGGTTTTGGTTTACTTTTTACTTCCACTCTTTGACGTTACTTGTTAGCTTTCCGCTTCAATTTGATTCAATTTGTGGCCGAATACAAATTTTCATATAACGTATGTATGTATGTATGTATGTATGTATGTTTGTATAACTTACAATGCAACAAGCAGCACTGTTCTGTCAACAGTTTCTAATGCTCTTGCGTCCATTGCTAATCATCGAGTGTATGTGGTACAGTACCCTCACAAGCCACTCCTGACTTTGGCGCTTAAAAGTATGCTTTTAGGTAATTATGTATGTATGTATGTATGTTTCTTGTGTGTGTGTGTGTGTGTCTGTGTGCGTCTGTGTGTGGGCATGTGTGAGAGTTTGTTCACGTTCTCTTTTGCATTTTGGCACTTGTGCGAGACGCGCACTGACTGGCGGCGACCTCCGCATCGTAACGGTAAATGCAATTCACTTTTTGTTTTTTTTTGTTTTTTAGCCCTGGCTCTGGCAGCCCTGGCTTGCATGCATAGGCATGCACATATGTACATATATATTGGTTTTTCCATTTTTTTTTGGTTGAAATCTGAACCGAAACTAAAATCAAGAAAACGTAAACGTAAAAACAAACAGCTACAACGCAAAAACTAAACGATAAGCGTGGAGAAACGATTTTAGATTTGTATGCGTTTCAGCGAACCCAAAACAGAGTTGTACAACAAATTAACGAAATAACGGTCTTTCTTTTAATTTCTCGTGTTTTTCTTTGTGTTTGTGTGTTTCTGTGCTTTCTTTCTGAAAGCTTTCTGAACACATGGCGAAACGAGTACGCAACGCGACGCGACAGGACGTGGCACGCAGGCGATTGAGTTCAATTTGTTTTTGGTTCTAGTTACGTTGTTTTATACTTTTTGGTTGAATGTTTTTCAAAAGTTGCATTTCTATACTTTCAAAAATATATGCATGTATGTATGTATTTATGTATATATGGATCTGCGATTCACGATCGTCCTTGTATATGTACATATATATACATAAATCATTAAGAAGATTGAGAGACTAGGGAGACTGGGAGAGTGCGAGAGAGAGAGAGAGAGAGAGAGAGACTGACGGAGTAAGTGGGAGATGAAGAGAGAGAGAGAGAGAGAGAGAGAGCGATCAAGACAAGGTGGAAGAGTGTGCCCCAACATACAAAAAGG